GTAGCATTGTCAGACCCTTTTTTCCAGGGAGTTACTTCCTCTACCCAGAAACCTCCAGAAAACATGCTCTTTCAAAGCCTCCAAGGTTGGTACTTTATCTTCTCCCTCACCCCATGGTCTTTCTAAGGCAAGTACCATTTCCATTATAAATGTTTTCCATTTCCTTCCCTCCAGGCTTGAATCTACCACTCCCAAGTTCATGAAGCATGCTCTATATCATGGTGCCCTACCAGGGGTAACCATATTGCTTGGCCCAGATGATGGATCCTGGGATGTAGGAGGCATAGGCTATATCACTCTCATGTCCTGTCCAGGTCTCCTCAGGAATATCACAGCTATTATACTCCAAGTCTGCCAAAACAGAGAAGGAATGAAGGGATAGGAAGAGACCCATAGGTGAAAAATCTGGATGAGGGCTAGGGAGAGAACAAGAACGAACTAGTATACATAGCAGGTGGGACCAAAAGGGCATCTGGGGGACAGGCATGGAGGAAGACGAATAAAGACCCATGGAGGAAATGCAGCTACAGCAGGAGAAGGAAGAATACTGCCTCCTTATACTCTATAGAAAAAGATTCCATACTCCTGCTTGCATTCCACAATGTCTGACTCTGCTCCCATCTATGGAACATCATGAGGGTAATTTCTCTGAGACTCTGTTTTCTCATTTGTAAAATAATTGGACTGGACTAGATGGTCATAATCAATCTCTTCCAAGTAGTTTCAAACATTTTAGAATTCTAAGCTCAATGGATCTCTCTCACCTGCTTTTCCCCATATATCCCATATCGCTCCCTATCCACCAACCTAATAACAATATTCTAATCAGGATTGACAGGGACAGACCAATGCTAAGGAAAATGGAATTCACTCAGTACATGCATTTAGATGCCAGGCCTATCCCATGATATAACTCTGCAAGGTGTCTTCCTCCAGCCCTTTTCACCCAGATTCATCTCCATATGACAGGAAGATCCCTCCTCTCCCACAAGCACTACAAGGACCCTTTGAGTGCTAAGTACTCTCTTTTTTTCTTTTGAGATAGGATCTCATTCTGTTGCCCAGGCTAGAGTGCAGTGGCGTCATCATAGCTCACTGCAACCTCAAACTCCTGGGCTCCAGTGATCCTTCCTGCCTCAGCCTCCCAAGTAGCTGGGACTATAGGCGCACAGCACCAAGCCTGGCTAATTGTTCTACTTTTTGTAGAGATGGAGTCTTGCTCTTGCTCAGGCAGGTCTTGAACTCCTGACATCAAGCAATCTTCCCACCTCAGCCTTCCAAAGTGCTAGGATTACAGGCATAAGCCATTATGCCTGGCCTTTTGCTAACTACTCATGTCACATTTAATCTAAAGGATACATGCAGGGTAAGAAAGGGAAGAACAATAAAACCTGAAAAAAAATTTCCACTCCTTTCTACCTGTATTCTGATCACAGGACCAATTATCTGGGAGAACTGAGGGGTCAATGTTCCCACGCAGCCGCCTCCATTTCTCACAGTTTGGGGAGGAACACTGGACCCAGATCAGACATTGCCCTGTGAGAAGAAAAAATGAAATAAGAGACTCAAAAATATGCTCTTTCTTCTTCAATCCAACTAAACTCAATATAACCCTCCCAACCCTCACAATCACATAGCCACAGAGACCTTAGAGATCAACTAGCTTAATCTCTAACTTATAAATGGGAAAACCAAGACTCAGGGAAGGTAATTGACTTGCTGAAGATAAATCTAATTTGGTGACAGAGCTGAAATTAGAACTCAAGTCTCACATCTTGATCTTATCCTCTCTCCCCACCCCAAGTCAGAAAGGAGTATTTCCTGTGTTGATAGTACATGAATAAAAAGGTTGCCTGGCATCTTTCCAGATAGTGCCTCATTCTCTGCTGGCATGACACTACTGAAAAGTTCTTTTGAAGAGCTTATCAGCATCCTTTTTGTGTACAACATCCAGAGTTCTCATCCAAATCTCAACTGATTTACCTGTCACCAAATCACCAAGTTGTAACCTTTGGGACCAACAGTCCTGAGTTCACTCTCTTCCAAAAGACACAGGTCGAAGTCTATCATTTCTCCATGATGTACTCACAACCTCCATATCCACAAAGCACCCCATTATCTCAGTTCCTTGATCTTTTCCTCCATGACACTTCAGTAACCCACTCCCACATGCCCCACCCATTCACAGGTGTACCCTTTGAGTCACTTATCCAAACTTCCTCTTTGACAAAAATGCCCCATCCTTCCACCTCACTTGCTTAAAGACCCCTACAACAGGCTGGGCATGGTGGCTCATGCCTGTAATCCTAGCACTCTGGGAGGCCAAAATGGGAGGATCGCTTAAGGTTAGGAGTTCAAGACCAGCCTGAGCAAGAGCAAGACTCCATCTCTACTAAAAATAGAAAAATTAGCTGGGTGTGATGGTGCACACCTGTAGTCCCAGCTACACGAGAGGCTGAGGCAGGAGAATCGCTTGAGGCCAGGAGTTTGAGGTTGCTGTGATGTAGGCTGAAGCCATGACACTCTCGCCTGGGCAACAGAGTGAGACCCTGTCTCAAAAAAAAAAAAAAAGACCCCCTACAACAACTTTTATTTCATCTAGCTCTGCAATCCACTGACCTCTACTATCCTCTAAATCTGGTAGCAACTTCCATTGTTCACTCTATACTACTCAGGTTTGATTCCTTGACACTTCCTTGGATTCTCCTGCAGACATCTTAAACTCCTTTTCCCACTGTCCTTCCTCCCACCCATGTGGCAAAACACTCTCTACCCACTCTCTGCCTTTTCTGTGTCTATACTCATGCACTTGAGACTTGCTAGAGAAAAATCACATAACAGGCGCATAGGTATCATTATATACATTCTCTATTAACATTATCAACCAACATGTTTCTCTAGTAAGTTCACTCTCCCACTGTCAAATTTTACCTTAAATGCCTGAACATGAGGGATGGCCCCCCAACTCCATCCTGCTGAAATCATCCCTCAGAAAAGAAGTTAACTTACATTTGGGTCCTTTCCAAATATCACACAAAATGGATCACTTTATCAATTACTTTATCTTGAAGAATAAAGTACTGGTTGAGAATGATATATTAGTCTGAAACGACAGTTGCCAATGATAGCTTTGGATGTTTATGGTGTTCATAGAGATGACCTAGTAAGACTAGAAAAAAAGAGTAAGGAGAGAGGCCAGGGACTATAAAAGTTAACACATATCAATAAAACAAATAATTGGCTATGAAAATAATGAGCATTCATAAGAAAATGAGTGGAAAAAAACTGCCCCAATGATATGGAACTAGGTATTCATGGCTTGGAATGAAATTTCCAATGACAGGATTGTACATATTTTAAAGTTTCCTTTCAAACAACTTAGAAGAGAAGATTATGTGTTCCAGAAAACTGTGTTTGATGTTTACGATGTGGTTCTATGATAAAGAAGACTCACAGACACACTTTAAGAGCATTTCAGATGACCATGCATTCTTGAAACACTAGGTTCCTGGGTTCTGTCACACCACATTCTTCTGACCCTCCCCCCATCTTTCTGGCAGCTCCCTCCTCCTTTGCTGGATTCTCCTCATTCTCCATCCAATCTCTAAATGCTGGGGTTCCAAAGTCCAATCATGGGCCTTCTCTCCCCATGATACACTTTCTCCTGGGGCAAGCTCACCCATTCCCATAGCTTTGAAATCCATTTTCATGCCTGACAGCACACCTTTGCATACCTATAGCCGCCTCTATTCTGAGCTCCAGATTCCTACAGCCATCGTGCTCTTTGATATCTCTATTGGGATGTCTCGCAAGGATCTCAAACCTAAGGTACCCACACCTGAATGCCTGATCTTATCCCACAACTTTGTTCTTCCTCCACTCTTTCCCACCTCCTTTCACATAACTGCTCAAGCCAGAAACCAATCATCTTTGACATACTTTCTCCCCTCTCACCTTCCAATATGCAATTCATTGCCAAGTCCTGACAATTTTACCTCCAAAACATACCATAAAACATCGCTTCTCTTTCTCTACTTTCATTATCCCAATCCAAGCCACCAAAATACCTAATCCTAGCAATAACTTCTTAAATGATCTACTCTTGTTTTCTCCCCATACTCCATTCTCCAATTAATCACCAAAGGATCCTTTCAAAACATTAATTTGAGGATGTTACTCCCCTGGTTAAAGTGCACCAATGGCTTCCCACTGCACTTAGGATAAAATTCTAACTCTGTAGCATGGTGTTTGTTCTGCCACTGCCTACCTCTTTCCACTCACCCAGAGCCACTTTTGCACCTTGCTTCCCCTTGCTCCCTGAACTCCAATCACACTGCCTTTCCTGTAGTACCTGGAATATGGCAAACTTTACCCTTCACTTTGATAATTTCTATTCTTCCTTCGGATTTCAGCTTAAATACTGTTTCCTTAGAAATGCATCCCCTGACTGGCCCAATCTTACTTAGGTCTCCATTATTTCCTCTCATGACACTGTTCTTTTCCTTCATTGTACTTAACACAAATTGTATTTATTGGATATTCCTCTTTCTACATCCTACTCCAGGAGGACTCCTCTCTCCTTGGCAACTATGAGAAGCTGGAAGAATGATTCATTGATAGGAGGAAGCTGATAAATCCACTCCAATCACAATTCAACTCACAAGCACCACCTAGGGAGTGAACCCCCATCTGCCAAACTAAAATCCAGTCCTCGCAGTAATACTTACTGAGAGGCATAGGAGATGCAGCAACACAAATCTAATGGCACCAATTTATTTGAGCTAACTGAAGATCAGGTCAGTGAGGCCTGCACTATCCCCAAAATTCTCAATGGGCACATCTGAGTTTATACATTCACATAAAACCAAAAGAAAAAAACTTTTAATTCTCTTTTTGACTCTACCTAAAAACTCCCTTGGGGTGTTCTGTGCTTCAGACCACCTAATTGTCCAAAGTAGATTTATTCTTCCAACTCTTTATGTTACCATGTCATTACAACAAAAGGAATGGTTTACTGACCCGGACTACCTTGTTTGGTACCTGCATAGTCTTTCTAGCATTTTTTCCAAGTATGTGCAAATCATATTATGCTTCTACAACCAAAACTACAAACATATACACATATTAATACATATTAGATACTAGCTGACTTTTTATTCCACTGTTCCTTATACTTTTGGTTCTAGTTTTTTTGTATTATTTTTTATTTTTTGGCGCAAGTCTGTTTTCCCCTAAATTATTGTCTACTTTTAAATTTTTGAACATAATACATTGTATGGTCTATTTTATTTCTTGTCTAAAATTTCCCATCATCACCTTGGTTATTTCATATGATATATTTGTTTTAATTTTGTTTTGTTTTGTTCTAGAGATAGGGTCTCACTATGTTGACCAGGCTGGTCTTGAGTGGCCTTAAGTGAACTTCCTGCCTCGGCCTCCTGAATAGCTGGGATTACAGGCACGAACCACAACACCAAGCTCTATTTGTTTTATTAACTGTTTAACACAGTAAAACTATAAATTCTATAAAGGAAGGGTTATCAATTTTGTTCACCACTGTATTTCTAGCACCTAGTACAACACCTGCCACATAAAATAAAGCACTAATAACTGTTATAAAAGAATGAATCCATATCCATCCTTATCCTCCCTCCATCCAATCTCAAAGGGTAAGGTATTCTTTCTGATAAAGAATAAATCCTGTGAATCACTTTTCATTCTCACTTCAATCTCTCCCTCTCTAAAAATAATTTTCCCTCAGCATATAAGTATGGTCAAGTCTCTCTCTTTCAAAAGAATGTTATAAAATGAAAAACCCTCTCTCAACTCTATACCCACTCCCCTTTATCTACCATTTTCTCTTTCTTGCTTTTCACACCTTAACCAACTGAAAAAGTGTTTACTTTTCAACCAACTTACCAACCCATACAGTAGCTATAACCAAGCCCCCAATGGCTTCCCAATTGTGATATGCTTGAGCATTGTTTTATCCTCTGATTTCTGTATGGTGGCATTTGACATGGCTGAGCACTCCCTCTTTCTTGAAATTCTCTCCTCCCCTGGCATCTGTGATATCACAGTCTCCTAATTTTTGACCACATCTACCAAATTTTGATTCTACTTTTCTGACCACATCTTAGTTTTCTTCCTGGGCACCATCTAAGATGCCTGGTACATAGCAGGCACCCAACAACTATGGATTATGTGAATAAATAACTGAATGAATGAAATCATTCTCTTCCTCAGCAGCACACCCTATAAGCAGCTATGAGAGATAAATTATAGTGTTTGCAGAGTTTCCTCTAACATCCTAATCTTTGCCTCTTTCCTCCATCTCAAATTTTCAGCCCTAGTAGGTTTTCCAAACCATGGCCAAACTTACCAAAACCACTTTGCTTTCCTTTTTGCTGGTTCCTGATCTGAGAATGACCCTGAACCATTTTCTTCAGTTGGTCTTTCTGTCTATGCTCATGTCCACCTTGGACTTTCTCCATTTTCTCATCTTCTGGGAAGAAAAAAACAAAAAACACTTGTGGGGTGGGGAGATGAAGAACAGAATCTTTATAGATAGCAAAAGCCAGCAAAAGAAGGAAGAAGAATCATAGCCTAATAGTTTGGTTTCAAGCTTTAGGCTGAAAAATCTCAGCCTGCCCTCATCCCATTCCTTAATTTCCTGCAGCAACTACTTGAGCCAGGCATCAAAGTATATCTGACTATACTTACGAGCTTCCTTCTTTCTTTTGCTTAAAGGGAGTCTATTGAATTTCTTCCCAGAGGGTGCAGGATCTGGCTGGCCTGACTTAGATGTGCTTATTTCAGAGACAACATCATTGTCCTGAGAGGCTGAAATCTCTGGAGTATGAGATACCATTACTTTCTCTCTGAAAATGAGATATTTTTTTAGTGAAAAGGTTAAAAGGAAGAAATTTGCAGAAATGTTCTTTTGAAAGAACCCAAGGGTAAAAGGAAGACAGAACAATCCCAGGCTCCCCAAGGTCATTTTATCCATCTACTTGCCTAGTTTTCCCAACTCAAATAGGTATCTTTCCTGAACTGAGAGAAATATATAGAAATATGATAAATGACTAGACAGATAGACAGACAGATCACCATTTACCAATGTTAAGTTCACTCTGTGTTCAACTTGCCTCACTGGGATGAACTTACCTATCAGCATTATCACTATCAGTAGCAGAAGTAGTGATGGCTGGTTCCTTGTCTGACTGGGTACATACTATGGGCTGGGCACAGGAAGTCTCTGAAAAATCAAGGCCAGATCCCATCCCTCCCAAAATAATATATTATAAGCAGAGAAGCAGTAAAAGAAAACAACCACTCCATTATTTCCTAATATTTTCATTAAAATGTCTTCTCCCTGTTGCCTAGAAGAGCCTACCTTTGGTCTCTTATCATATCATAGAACTTTAAATTTTTAAATTTCCAGGAAAAACTACAAATCGATATCTTTCTACAAGCCTTTCCAGATTAATCTACCTCATTCCAGGATATCCATGTGATGATAATTTTATTTTGTGTACAAAAAAATTATATGTACTACATTTTATATCATTTGTTTCTCAAACTTCCCCTAGGAATAGAAGCACACCTAAGAATGGCTAAAATGTCAAACTATTCTCCTTAGCTTCCTGACCTATACTATAGAATATATAGGTCATCTGAGAAGACCTCAGGTCCTATACTATAGAATTCTTTATTTTAAAAATTAAATCCCTGAGCATATGCGAAAACAGTATTAGAAACAGAAATACACAAGGGTAGAGGGAGACCAAATTCTTCAAATCTGTGGAAAACAATTTATCTTTTCTAAGTAGATTATAAACATAGAGAAATGAATTTAAGTCACATTTTTAAAATGTAGGTGAGATGTATTTAAATTCTGAAGTCGATCTAATCTACTTTTCTAAAATTCTGTACCTTTTATCTAAGGTGGTTTAGCTATAGTCCTATTCAAAGAAGATGAAGTATTTTAAAATATTTTAAAGTCTCTCTAATATATCCTTCTTAGGAATATGAAAGAGAAGTTGTCAAACTTACTCTGTTTCTCAGAAACCAGTCACATTTCCTAACTGAAACCCTTTTTCTCTCACTAGAAGCCATACCCAAGCACTCCTGGAGGGACTTCCGCAGCACAATCTGGACAATCTCCTCAAATTCGGCATTGGAAATACTTGATTTTTCCTGCAGAGACAAGGGTAGAGGAGGAAAACTGGTTATCTTTCCATAGTTCTCTCCTCTGACCAGTCAGGGAATCCTCCTTTAGATGAAGCAGTAAGTTCACAAAACTAAAGGCATGTAGTCAACATACCTAAGGAGTCCATAAACTCTATCCCAGATCTCCTGGGAATAAAGGAGTCAAAAAAAAAAAGGAAAAAGTTCCTGTCCACTTCTACTCCCACCTCCATTCCACCTCATCCCATATTTCCCACTAAATGTTTTCATCAAAACATTTTTTATCTCTTTGAGAAAAAAATAGAAGCCTTAAAAAAGGAATAAAAATAACTGAAACTATAGGATGAATCTCCCCAATATGAAAAGATTGTCTTGGCTGGGTGAGGGGAGGGTAGGAAGAACTGTCCTACTGGAGCCCATCACTGTGACTGATACCTTTGCTTTCTTCTCTACTTGCTTGTTGTCTTGAGCCTTTCCTTTTTTCTTCTGGCCACTGCTTAGACCATTCTCTATGGTCGCTTTCTCTTCCTTCTTCTCTAACCTAGCCTTTGGCAGGTGTGGCCTGGTCTCTGTCTCTGGGAAACTAATCCCCAGAGTCTCCTCCTTGGGCGAGTTAGGGCTACAAGGTATCAGGCTATGCAATTTTTGTGCAGGTGGGGCAAAGATTTTCTTTGGTCCCTTTCCACATTCTGAAAGAAATTTGATCATCAAATGGAATTTATGAAATGTATAGTCTAACAGAGATCGCCAACCATTGACCGTTGACTGTCCATATCAGAATTATATGGAGAGAGCTTTTAACAAATTCAGATTTCTAGGTCTCTCCCTGACCACTCCACTCCCCAGACCAGAGATTCTGATGGTGTAGTTTGAAGTGAGGCCCAGAAATCTGTAATTTTACAAGGCTAGTTGATTCTAATACGTTGCCAAGTTTGAGAACCACTGAGTAATTCAAAAGTGATAAATATAAGCATACAGGAAGCAGAGTTATTCAAATGTGAAACTTTTTAATTTGCTCACTTTTAACTTTGAATACAATTTTATGGGAAATTGGAATGATTTTTTTTAAAAAAGCAAATCAAAGTCTATGAATTATTCAAGGCCTGGCTCTTATGCTACCTCCTCAATGAAAATTATACTGATCTTCCCAGGTATAAGCAATATATCTTTCTTCTAGCTTCCATAATACTTTGCCCATCTCTGGTGGCATTTACCACATTCAACTTTATAACAGATATTTAAATGTCTTTTCTCTATACAGTCCTTGAGCAGGACTCTTTCTAAGTCACATTTATTTCATTCAAAGCATCTAGCAGAGTAGTAATTTGAACAGAGTGGACACAAAATATATGTGAACTGAACTGCCCCTTGATGAGAAGGATGTCCAGAAGGGGAAAATGGGAGAAATGTACAAAATTAACTGCCCTCACTCTTGACTCACCTTCCTTATTCTGCAGTGTTGTCATCATTCAGCTCAGAAACTACACTTTCTTTGCCACTATTAGAAAAAAGAAATTAATTGCTATGGCTCTGATTAAACATGATTTTAAACTTTCTTCTCTCCCTGTCTTCCTGGGTTCAGAATCTCTTTGCCCTGTGCTCCTGAACTACATTTCTACCTCCTTGACTGCACTTCTACCTCTTCAGCAGTGCCAGTTACATGCCAGGGAATAATGAGAGTTACTGTTTTAAAGATCAGCAACAATCCTTAATGTTTTAAGTGCCTAGAACTATGTTCAACGTAAGGCAGGCACTCATGATTAGATAGAAATGGTAGTGGAAGGATGGCTAGTAGTAGAGCAGTGGTACTAGGGAATGGACAGTCCTGGGAGTTAAAGAGTGAGAGTTTTCTTCAGAGGGATAACCTCATTTCACAAGGTTCTCTTAAATACTTAGAACACAAATAATCTGCTAATTCTCTGATATGCATAGAATACCTATGCATAGAATACCCCTTATTGTAACATCATTATAATGTTTATTTTCTCTTCTCTTAGATCCTCAGTCCAATAAATTTTCTAATATACTGGATTCTACCAATCTCTATTCATAGCTCAGAAATATTTGGTAACCAGCAGAAGTCCCCAGAGAATTTAGCACCTTTTACCTTATTCTTCTACCTTAGAAACTAATAATGAAAAATTAGTATCTTCTTTGATATTCATAGTTCATCTTCAGCAATCTACTCACAGATGTTCTACACTACATCAATATGTTTCATTATTACTACTGATATTGTGACTAATGATAATGGCTAACACTTATTGAGCACTGACTATTTCTCTGCCCTTTAAGTATCATTCTCACAACAAATCTATGAGATGGATTCCATTTTACACTTAAAGAAATTGAAGATTAAAGACATGTAAAGATTTTAAGTAACTGATATGTAGTAAAATTAGGATTAGAACCAGTCTGATTTCAAAGTTTATGCTAATAACTGTGCTATGCTACATTCTTATAGTCTAATTTGGTACTTCACCACCATTTTAATATTATAACATATACAGAAAGCAGAAATTAAAAGTACATATTTAAACACATACAGAATGATATTTCCAGGGATTCTACGGTAAAAGGAACCAGGCTACTTACAGCCATAGGCAGCCGAAGGGCCATACCAAAGGCTGAAGAAATTAATATCTCCACACAGCTATAAGCCATTTGTGACCCACCAATAGCCCTTCTACCAAGTTTTCTTTAGGTTTAGAGCATATATGCCATTCTTATTTATGTAACAACTAAATAAGCATTATAACTCTGAGAAGGGTTTTAGAGGTCATAAATCCCCATCTCCTCTTTTTATAGATAAAAAATATTCTAAGAGAGGTAAGTGGTTTGCCCCAAACCTCAGTGTTAATACATTGGTGAGCTTAAATGAATCCAGAAATTTTGCCTCTAAATTCTACTACTAACAGATCTATTCTATTCAGTGATCTTGTTTCTGGCTCTTGGTTTCTGGCAGAAGGTCCTGAAATGAAAACTCATTCTTCTAACTCTGCTATCTCCCACCATAAAAAGACCCAAAAGCAGCATAAAATTGATCCTTTGGTTCATATACATTTCCCTTTAAAGAATTTGGAAATTTTAAGACCCTTAAATGGCCAAATTTATTCAAGGTGTAGGGTTCTTCTCTCTAAATCACAAAATGAATTCAAAAGCTACTGGGGGCTTGACTTATTGTGGCCATAGCATGGCTGAATGTAAAGTGTTTTTAAATTACTCCTCGGAATTTTTCTGTCCCTTTTCTCCTATAAATATGAATAGTTCAGATGTGCTGTTCTGAAGCAACTATTTTTCCTTTATATTAAGGAACATTTTTTCTCACTGTTTCCATCTTTATCACCACCAACCCCCAAATACATTTGCTCCAGAAAAAAAGGGAAGTAGGGATTTGGTGGAGAAATACTGAAGCAAATTGGTCTCCTTTATTATAATCCTAAATAGAAGCCAGAAACTGAATAAAATTAGGCTGCAAAAGGAATATTAACCTGACTACAAATGACAAACATATCTTCTCCCAGACTCCAGATTTCCAAAAAGCATCATGAGAAGTCCTTGTGAAGGTAATCTAAGTTACAAGAATAACTATACTAAGTGAGAAAAGCAGAGTGAAAATTAGTGTGTTTCACATGACAATATTTGGTTTTTAAAAATGTTTGTCTATATAATATGCTTGTATATCCATAAATTATCTCTGGAAGAATATACAAGAAACTGATCAAAATGCCTCTGGGGAGTAGGAGTGGGTGGCTAGGGGTGGAAGGAAGTTTTTCATTGTATTCCCTTGTGTATCTTTGCCATTTTAAAACATACAAATATTACCACTTCAAAAAATAATTTCTTATTTTAAATTCTTTAAATAAAACAAGACTATTTTGACCAAGCTATAAATGTAAACTTTTCAAATATTTAGGTTCAAATACTTACCTGAACCTATACAGATCTTCCTAGACCAAAGTATGCTCTGGAGCCCCAACCAACCAGATAGAAATGTGAATCATCGCTACTACATCTACTAAGATGTAGTAAATCTAGAACAGCAATGTATAATATAATACATACAATCTAAGGTGGCAGTGTGATGAAGAATGTTACTTTTTTAAAAAAGGTCTAACCTGATCAATCAATAGAGAAGAGAAAGCCAGGAAAATCACTTTCTGATAACTCACGTTGCTGCTCCTCTGTTCCACAATAACAAATATTGAAAGCTGGTTCAAAGAGAGAAAAAAAAGAAAAATATAGACAGTTAATAAATATATAAAATACAACCAACTTTCTTCTGTACAGCTACTAAATGACTAGGGGCTCTAGACCTAGGAATAATATTTGAGGTTTTAATTTTTTCTTTCTTAACTTAGATGAAAAGCGGGGTGAGGGGGTTTGGGGGAGAGGGTGGAAACACCCAAAGGCTTTAAGAAAGTATAATAAAAGAACCAGGATAGTTCCATAGACCAGATCCCACTCACTAAACATAAGAAAAGAGAGTAAATAAGGAGGGAAAAAGAACTTAGAAACAAGTAATAAAGGGAACATAGGGAAGGTCAATAGGGCTCTCAGAAAATAGAAACAATTTTATTTCACTTAGAACACTAAAAATCATCACATTAATTTTGAGGTGAAATCACCTAGCTCATCAGTTCTCAAAGTATGGTCCAAAAACCCCTAGGAGCCCCTTCCCTATATATCTGTGTTAAGCTGGATTCTCTCATATACTTCTACAAAAACAAGATATCACTACAGATTGAATGAAGAAACAGATGAGAATCCAGCTGTTTTCTATTAAGCCAGAAATGAAACAGATTTGCAAAAATGTAAAAAAACACCATCCTTCACACTAAATTTTCTTTTGCTTAGGGAAACGTATTTTTTTCATAAAAACCCTATTTAGGTTAACATATAATGGGTTTATTATTGTTATTTCTAAATATTTAAATTTTTCCTCAGTTTTAGTTTCTAATATGTTAATATTAATAGATACAAACCACATAAAAGCTTTTTGGAGTCCCCCATAAATTTTAAGAGGATAAAAGGGTTCTCAGGACCAAAAAATTTGACCACTGATCTAGCGAAATAATTTAACTCAGTCTTGCCAATTTTTTTTAAAACACAATAATCCTCCTCCCCCCACGCACCCCATTTAGAATGTGTTCACAAATTTCCCCCTTGTTCCTCTTCATATTGTTCCTGAAATCCTTGGTCTAAGAGAACAAAAGTAAACACTTTAGCCTTGTTCTCTCACACAGACTCCCTCAGCCTCAAAAAACTGTATTTAAAGACTATATTTAAAATCTTTAAGCTGGAGTCTCATTTCCTTTTGGCATGAATGCCCAATAGTATGTGGACTCCTGCTTATTTTTGTGCCTTGATTAACTAGTAGTGGTTTCTTTCCTTCGTTTTTCTTTCCTTTCGTGTGTGCATGCGACCTCAGCAAGCCTGATTTTAAAACTTTTAACAAAGAAGAAGAACAAAGACTCCCGCTATCCTTGCTGCCTATAATAGGACCTTTGCTGTCGGGAGTAACTGCCTGAGCTAACTCTTGCACAGAAGTTTATAAATAAATTCATGGTGAACTAAAGCTTCCCGGTTCAGAGCGCAAGGAAGCACAAAGGCACGACCGCTTATCACCAAATACACGATCTTTCTTCACGGGCTGTTGATAGCGTTCACACTCTTGCTGTCGACTGCCTGAAAGGTTCCCAGACGTGTCCCCAACTGGCACCAACCTCAACCTGGCCCTTCCGGGTTATTTTCGCTTAAAGGAGCACATACCCATGAATCCCAGATCCCGCACCATTTCCCCTCACACGGTGTCAAGGTTTGGAGTTAGAAAATGCCTAAATCCACCTTGAAAACCAAAGGGAAGACCTTTTGGTAGGCTTCCATTTTCCTCTCTCTTCCCTCACCAAATTCTGTGAAAGACAGCAATTAAGATCGGCGGTATCACAGAGTCAAATGTCCTCGCTTCCCCCAAAGGGTAAAACAGTGGCTTTCTAGCCTCTCTTCCCTGTCAACAATCCCACCCTGAGAGAATATCCCCTCAGCCCCCGCTCCCGCTGAGGCACCAGGATCCTCATTCTCGCTCATATAGTCATTGCCCGCCACGATACTGAGGTATTTTTGTTTGTTTGTTTGTTGGGGGTGAGTTGGAGGTTGGGGATTCTGAGGAGAAGGGGTAGGAGCTGGTTGTTGCTCTGAAGAGAGAGCTTCTCCTCAGGCAACAGGTACCGGGATTGGCCCCGCCTACCACCTTCATCTGCAACCAGACAAAAGCCAGCTACCTTCCGCAGCAAGGGGGATCTACAAGCAAGGGGCAGAGTGAGCTACCGCAGCGACTCCGCAACCCCTTCCAACCTCCCCAGTTTTCCCGCCACCAAGAGAAGGTGCGATGACGCGCACAAGCTCCTCCCCGCAGCCGCGTGCTCCCGGAGCTGAGACGCATGCGCAGCTGAAAGACACTTCTGCGTTTGCGCAGCTGCAGTATTTCCGCCATCTT